AAAAGGTTTTTTTAAGATCTGTAAAGGTCTTTGATGTATCTGTTAATAGTATCTATAACTGTGAGTAAAACAAATATGTCATAAGTATCTGTAAGACTATGTTTGTAAAACTAATTGCAATAAAAATTGCAGTACTTATGGAAAAATATATTTTATTGATAAATATAAGTTAGTTATATAGAGAATAATCAATAGAGATAGAATTGATATTATCCGCCCGCCTAAACAATATTTCAGGGTGTTTCTTTCGGAATAGAGTTGTTTGTTTGTATCTATAAAAGTTTCTTTTCTAATTTGTTAATTTTATGGTTAGAAGTAAAACAATTTAGAATGAATTGCGTTTGGATGGTTTCAGCAGTCTTTTTGTCAAAAAATCTTAATTTGTTCTCTACATTTTTGATGGCTTTAAGTAGATTATTCTTGTGATAAATTGGGAGATTAACAGTTTCTTTCAGTTGGAGTAGGCTAATAATGTTGTCATGTATGTCAGGCCAAATTTTCTCTATGTATGTTTAATAAACACGTCACTGGTTGAGAAAAAGATGGTTTAGTCGAAGTTGCACTGATTATTTTTGTTCGAGCACGGGAGCGGTTCCAAATTTTCGAAAACATCGGAAATAAGAGATTTCGCTGTAAGCGCTAGACACGCGTTAATGTCAACCCAGTAAGCAAAATGCGCGCAATATGCCAGCAGATTGGCAACAGATATACTAAAAAGTTGCGAGCAAATTGGCATCTGTTATGTTCGCATTAGGCTTACGATCTGCTAGCAAAGCCTGCTCACAGAATCTTATAGCAGATTGATAGCAGAAACCGAGCAGAATCTGCTAACATGACTTGACATCAGATTGTCGGCAGAAACCGAGCAAGATCTGCAGCTTTTAGCGATTCATAAAATGGTGCATTTAAAGGATTTCAATATTATTTTTATATTTTTTTTATGTAAAATAAGTAAACAATTTAAAGCAATATGTTTATTATATAATTCTTACAATGATTTTTTTACATATTATTGCGCGTTTTCAACTTATCTACTAAATTATAATTATGTATAAAAAAATTATACATAGTCATACACTAAAAT